AAAAATCAAGCCTGAATAGTCTAAACACTTCTCTTCCCTGGGCCTCATTTACCCATCTATAAAATAAAGGGGTTGGGCTGGTAACCTCTAGGTCCTGTCAGCTTTGCATTCCTGAGAGTTTTGGGATTTGGTCTAAGTGTATGAGACTCAGGATTACACTGGAGCAAGTTCCTACCAGCTTCCAAGAGCCAACTGTTACATTGTCAGGAGTTCTGTAAGATAGTACAACCACTGGTAACTTGAAATCAGCTGTGACAGGAGTATTTACACCATGGAAATTGGCAAATGTTACAAACTAGGCCTTCCCAGACACCCCTTCCCCACCAGAGGTGGTTTTTTACCAGCACACCAGTGGTGAGACACCCCCCCATCCAACACCCCCTCCAACCTCAGCCAGGTACATTCTCCTGCTCCAACACTGTCAATAACAGTTGTGAAGGAAGATTCACAGGTTTCCGGGGACCACACAGGACCCCAATCACAGAGTCTAAAGTCAGCCCCAGCACAGCCAGCCACACACATGCTCAGACATGCACAGGGCGGGAAGCACAGCACATGCGCAAGGGCAGAACACTTCCTGCTTCAGGCAGTCATTCTCAAACACAGGAGCAGAGGGTGGTGGCTAAGATTCCGACATCTCACGCACTTGCGAGGGAATTCCAGTTAGGTTACTCCTGGCTCCATGACTTTAGCCAAGTCCCTCCCTACCCTGGAGCTTGGTTTCTTTATCTTGTAAAGGCGGATAATGCTGACTTGAGAAAATGGTTTCAAGGATTAAATGAGAACACCAGCAAAGGGAATGTAAAGCCTCCACATGGTGCCTGGTACAGAGTAGGTGCTTGTAGATGTTAGCTGATAATGTTATCACATCTCCAGATACATTGTCCCACCTGGTGGCACCCTGGCTTCTGTTCCCTCTATCTGAGCTTTGGGACAGAGAGGCTTAGTGAGTGGCAGAGGACAAAGACAGAAACAGAAGCCCAATTTTCCAGCTTTTATGAAAATTAATAACATTAATAGCTCACATGTACATACACCAAAAAACCAAACTCATTGCCATTGAGTCAATTCCAACTCCTAACGGCTCTATAGGACAGAGTCGAACTGCCGCATAGGGTTTCCAAGGCTATAATATTACGGGAGCAGACTGCCATATCTTTCTCCCGAGGAGTGGCTGGTGGGTTCGAACCGCCGACCTTTTGGTTAGCAGCCAAGCGCTTAACCACTGTGCCAACAGGGGTCCTTATATACACAGTCATTAAGTTATTAATTAGTCTCTGTATAGAACGTTTCTACATTAGTGTTCTGGGCTAGGCCCGAGCAGTCCTTGGCATATTCACAGTAGCAGCCCATGGGAGGGCAGAGGGGAAGCAGGAGGCTGGACCACCTGCCCCACAGTAGGCACTGAAAGTGTGCTGGGGCACTCACTCCTGAGTCTTCGGCTCCTGTCCTGGCATCTGTAGACCAGCTGTTCAGTGAGCGGGCAAGTAGCACCTGACCCCCCATGTGGCCTGGTGACCCAGGCCTTGTGCACGGTGACTTCAGGCCCCACAGCAGGCCCTAGAGGATGCTAGCCAGCTCTGTGGAGTCTGTGTCGGAGCAGCCTGAGCTGCTGGCCTCATCCCTGCAGAGCCAGAGGAGACAGTTGGAGGAAGCTTCCTTACCCACCTCTGCCCCCACCTACCTCATTCCTCAAGGGATCTTGGTCTGCCAGTCTTTGCCAGCTGTCAGATCAATCTAAACCACAGGACTTAGAGAGCTCGCTCACTCCCATTTCCAGCCCAGAAACTGCTGGTTACATGGTTCACTGTTCTTGGTGTCCACAGAGCATCATAATCACCAAGGCTATGCTTTGGCCTGGACTGGCCTGGCATCACTCATTCTATTCTGCCCTCACATCTCCTGAGAGGCAGAGCTCAGGCCACACCTGAGGTCCTACATGCCAGGAAAAGTGGCTCTGAAAAAACCAGTTGCCGTCGAGTCCATTCCGACTCCTGGCCATCCCATGTGTGCCGAACAGAACTGTGCTCCACTCAAGGCTGTGGGCTTTCGGAAGCAGATCACCAGGCCTTTCTTCCGAGGCACCTCTGGGTGGGTTCAAACCACCAACCTTTCAGTTAGTAGTTAAGCAGTTAACTGTTAGTACCAATCAGTGACTCCGGAGTCAGAACACTGGGATTCAACCCCCACTTCTACTCCTTATTAGCTGAGCCAGTCACTCTTCCTGATTAAGCCTAAGTTTCATCATCTGCAGAGTGGGTGGGAATAATATGAATCTGCGACACCTAGAGTTGTTGGAGGGCTGCAGGAAATAAAGAATGCACAGTCCCTAAAACATAAGCTCCATGAGGGCAGGGATTTTGTCTGTTTTGTTCACTAGAACACAGCCTGGCACACAGTAGGCATCTATTAAGGATTTGTTAAATGAATAAATGTAAAAATACTCAGCACAGTGCCTGGTGCAAAATTAAGTGTTCAAGAAATGTTAGCTGCTATTATGAATTGGCAGCAGGAAGGGGCAGAAGAGGGGCGGGCCACCAAGGGAAGACGTGTAGGAGCTAAGTCTGGACTTGGCCACAGGCCAGGCTGTCTGACTTGAGGGCTGAGACTGGATGACACCCTTCCTCCACCTCCCCTGCCTTCTCCCCGCTCTCACCTCAGAGCCTGCAGGGCCTTCTTGTTCTGCCGCCGCTTCTCCTCGTCAATGGGGTACAGCCGGAAGAGCAGCAGGCCCAGCAGGATGAGGACTATGGGAGCTATGGTCACCAGCATCTTCAGTGTAAACTTGACGTGAGCCGGCTGGGAGCAGCCACGGGTCTGGTACCCGGCAAAACTGTGGGCGCAGTGGGCAGGGAAGCGGTGAGGATGGGGCATCCAGGGCCTAGCCCTGCTCAGCCCAGCCCAGCCCCACTCTAGACCCCCCACCCTACTTACTCGAGACTGAGGGTGGAGATGCCCAGCGAGACTCCAGAGGCGAACTTGGTGAAGAAGACATAGAAGGAGAAGAAGATGGGCTCAGTTCCACGGGAGTGGGGCTGCTTCAGGTGGAAGTCATCAATGACGTCGGGCAGCATGGACCTTCACAGGTAGGGTCAGTCATGAGGACCCACCCACGTTGCAACCCCAGGTCCCCTGGTAGTCCATATGGTGGCTCTGTGTCAATGAATAGGGGTGGCTCTCTAGGAGCTTGCAGCCCCACAGGCACACAGCTCAGTGAGGAGATGCCACCTTTATGTGAATTAGAAAAGTAAGCCCCTTCCTCCAAGCTGAAGTAGCCACTCTTGGTGCTCAGCTTGGCGAGTGGAGTCCAGACCAGATTTTAGCTCCCATTTACTACCTTGGTTAGGTGTTACTGCACAGTTCACAACTGCATAGGGCAGATGTGTCCCACCCCTAATCTGGACCCACAGAATGGCCTGGGGGTAGAGAAGCAACACAGAACTCTCCCCAAGAAGCCCATATCCATGGGCCTATACAACTTACCAGGGCAGTAAGAAGGCAGCTGCCACGCTGATGCCAGCAGCCACGGCTACCACGTAAGTGACAATCAGGTTACTCTCCATGAAGGCCACCAAGATAAGAAATGGCACTGCTGACTAGGGGAGAGGGTATAGGAAGCTGCGTCAGCTAGGAAGCTCCCTCCAGCAACCTCCAACCCAGGCAAGACCCAACCCCTCCAGCCCCACTCACTGAGATCCCAATGTACACAGCTGTCTTCTTGCCAAACCGGGTTAGGAACCACTGCCAGATGGGAATGGTAAATGTGGCCGAAAGCTATGGGTGGACAAAGGGGATGAGGGGAGTGGTTAAGAGCCATGAAATCACCCCCCACCCCGCTTACCTTCTCAGGACCCCAAAAGCACTCCCAGCCCAGCCGTAGCCAGAAGGTATCGGCCTGGGAATGGGAAGGTGACAGGCAACTTTGATGGCTCCTGGGGGAGCTGACATCTAGTCCCAATCTCATCTCCTGCTCTGGGAAGCCTCCCTCATCTCTCCATGACCTCTGGTTGGCCCAGAACACACCCTCTGGCCATCTGTACCCTCGGGCCCCATACGCACCATGATAGCCAGGAGTAGATTCTGGAATTCATTGCGGAAGCCCAAGGTGTAGGTGCAAAACAAGGCGAAGTTTCCCTCTACCAGCTGGGGGATAGGGCAGGGTGAGGGGAAAGGAAAAGCAAGAAAGGAAGTTATGTTGGGGCTGAGCCTCCCCGAAATGTTCCCCAGGCTCCAGTGTTCTCTGCTCACCCTACCCCATTCCATCTGTCCCTTAGGCCACATCACACCTTTGCCTACTTCACCCCCACTGCAACTCAGGCTGAGCATGTCAGGCCCCCCACTCACCATAAAGGCCAGGGAGGTGAACAGGAAGCCGGTAATGAGCTTGACATACGGGCCATGACTCATGACCAGCCGAAGGCCACGGAAGAAGGACATGTGCTCAGCCTGCTGGGTCTTGTAGGGTTCTGGGGGCCAGAGATGACAGTGAGGAGGAAGCTGAGGCCCCTCCCAAAGCTGGAGGCCCAGACTGAGGGGACATAGTCACCTTGTGCTGGAGCCTGCGTCCCTCCCTAGGGCCCCCTCACCTCTCTGTTCCCGCACGCCCACGGTCAGGATGACAGCACAGATGACATAGATGGAGGCAATGACCCCTGCTGCCAGCAAGTATGCATTTTGCTATTAAGGGGGTGAAGAAGACACAGAGAGACAGTCAGGCTGATCTCCTCCCGACTTCCAGCTGCTCAACTTCATGACCTTGGGCCAGTCCCTTTTCCTCTGGGGGCCTCACTGTCTCCATCTGTGAAATAGGAGAATCATCCTGGGCCTCCTGCTGCTTCCCACAGCTGGGCAAAGTTGAGATGAGAAGCCAGACTGTGGAGTCTGAGAGCCCACAGTTCAAATCTCCCCAAATCTAGTCTCTGCAACTTACTAGCTCTATGACCCTGGGAAAATTATTCAGCTTCTCTAAGCCTCAATTTCCTTATCTGCAAAGTAGGCATATTAACAGTAATGTGTATAAAATGCCCAACACTTAATAAACACCAGCTATTATAGCTATGGAAACCCCGGTGGTGTAGTGGTTAAGAGCTATGGCTGCTAACCAAAACGTCGGCAGTTCGAATCCACCAGGCGCTCCTTGGAAACTCTACAGGGCAGTTCTACTCTGTCCTTTGGGGTCGCCATGAGTCAGAATCGATACAACAGCAAAGGGGTTTGTTTTTTTTTTTTCTTTTTATTTCTGTCTTTAAGATAATGGCAAACCACCCCCACTGTTTCTCATCTCCCCAGATCCTTGCCCTGCTAGGGGACCTCACCGTTTCTTTGAGTGAAGTGGTGCTGTGTGTGCGATTGACACCTTCTGAGACCACTGCAGAGTCATTGGGGTCCTGGAGACAAGGTGTATCCGCCTGGCCCACGATTTGCCCCTGGATCGCTGTGCCCAGCACTGTGCCCATCACCTCCACAGTCATCCCTGGGCAGTGAAAAGGAGGTCCTTGGGAGGGGCTTCATGGCTTGTGGGCCCCATGGAGGAAGGTCAGATGGATGGGAGCCCAGCTCAAGTCCCAGGGATGATGGTGGCAGCCCCAGGTGGGGAGGGTATACAGTGACAAAGCAGATGGCACAATGGATTGGACTCATGGCTTTGCTCTGAGTGACCTCTGGCTAGTTCCTGCCCCTCTCTGGGCCTCATTTGAGCAATAAGGGGCAGAGTTGTTTTTAAGATGGAGTCACACCCACTCTCAAGAGCAGAGCAGGGAGCAGAGCCCCAGGGGGAGAGGTGTGGCAGTGGGGTCTGGGAGTGGAGGGGCCTAGGGTCCCCGGCGGCGAGGATGGAAGGACTGGAGAGAGACTTACGGTATGCAGTGGCAGAATCCCGCTCACTCTGCTCTGTGCTGATGAACATGGTGAGAGCTGAGTAGGGAACGTGGAAACACTGGCATGGAAGAGAGGCCCTCGGCCAGTCAGATGGATTGAGAGACAGATGCAGCTGCGGGCACCAACCCTGGTGGCCCTAGAGACGGCCCTCAACCTGCCCCCAGAGACACCCAGGGAAGGTGCCCACACTTACCGTGACCAGTGTCTCAAAGAGGCAGTAGAAAAGCAGGTACCACAGAGCCTGGCCCCGTGGGAAGTCGGGCACGAACCAGATGAGAAAGTAGGCGATGATGGCCAGGGGTGTGGAGAAGATGATCCTGAGGAAGGGAGGGTCTGAGTGGGGCTGGGTGCCAGAACCCCAGGAGCCTGGCACAGGCCTGAAAGGCAGTGCCCCACAGGGTGCCTGTTGGGAAGGAAATTCCTTCCCCTGAATTCTCCCACGCCAGGGCTTCTGGGAAGAGGCTGGTGGTCAGGCCAGAAAGGGCAACAGGAACAGGGTCCTTGGACTGAGAAATCCTCACATGGAATGTGGGTCAGACCCTGAGTCTCATCCACATCTCCCTAGGAGCAAGGGTTCCAGAGACAGGAGCTTCCTACAGGCTGGGGGAGCTGAGAATGGAGTCCAAGACCTCAGACCGCGGGGCAGGGAGAAGGAGCAACTGCAATACCCGTGTGTTCTCACACAAGCACACTCACCATTCACGCACATGGGGAAGCTGGGGTGGGCTAGGGGAGGCCTACACCAGGCAAAGGAGAATGGAGAGGCCAGGTTGGAGGACTGGGCCTAGCGAAATAACTATAAAGGGAGCAAACATTGGCCTCCCCACTTATGAATCCCACACAATCACAAATGGTTAGACTTCAGGAAGGACTAACTTCATGAAATCAGTATAGAACGGCAGCAGAGTGCAATGGTTAAGAGAATGGCCTTTGGAGCCATACTTCCGGGGGCCCAATTCTGGCTCGACCAATTAACTATAAATAACTTGGTCCTAGGCAAGTTATTTAACTTCTCTGGGCCTCATTTCCTCATCTGGAAAATGAAAACAATAGTAGCATCTACCTTCCATTAAACCCCTTTACTCAAGAAGTATTTATTAAATGCCAACTATGGGCTGGGCACTATTCTACTTGGGATAAGCAGTGAACAAAACAGATGAAAAATATTGGAGAAGGGACAGTGTTGACATGTCGTGGCGTTGTTAACCATTGTCGTAAAACAATATGTGTACTAACTGTTTAATGAGAAACTACTTGTTCCGTAAACCTTCATCTAAAGTACAGTAATAATTAAAAAAAGATAGCCAAGAAAAAAAAAATTGGAACTTACATTCTAGTTGGCAAAGAAAATAAAAATAATTGAAGTCATATAACATGTTAGAAGGTGACAAGGGCTACAGAGAAAAGAACTAAAGTAGGCTAAAGGGGATTGGAAGTGAGTACAGGGGTGCAATTCACAACCAGGTGGACAGGGTAGGCCTCAAGGAGGGACATCTGTGCCAAGACCTGAATGAGAGGAGGCAGTCGCACTGCAGACATCTGAGACAAGACATGCCAGGCGAGGGGAGCAGCTAGAGCAAAGGTCCTAAGTGGGAGTTTGCCTGGCACGTCTGAGGAACCGCCAGGAGGCCGGTGTGGCTGAAGCAGAGTGGAATCAGGAGATGAGGCTGGAGAGAAAATCGGACACCAGACCGTGGAGGCCCTTCCAGGCTATTATAAAGACATTGGTTCTACTTCATAGGTTGTTTTCAGGCTTAAATGAGTTGATTTTTAAATGCGGAAGACTGCTTGAAACACAGGGAGTGTTTGTTGTGATTATCCCATCAGGAAAGCTCAGCAGGGGAGGCAGCAGGGGTAACTAGTCACAGCTAGCAAGCTGCCGCAGACAGCGCAGGGCTGGGAGTCAGACCTGACGTCCAGCCCTGCTGCATCTCGGTCTTCCCCTGTGACCCTGCTGGCACCCTGCCTCTCTCAGGGCCGCTTTGGGAAGCTCTAAGGAGTATCTGTCAAAGTCTTTCTGGTCTGAAGGAGAGGTTTTAAATACAGGCTCAGAGTAGGGGCTACCTGCCAACAGGGAGGAGAGGGAGCCACTGGGCTTGTGCCTCCCAAGAGGCCCAGCCTCTTCTTATGCTGAAAGAAAAAAGGGGGTCTCCAGGCCTGAAGAGGGGCCCAGGTCCTAACCAAGCTATGGACAGGGAGGAAGGCACATACATGGCAGCCCCATCCCACAAGTGATTAGTGTGCACTCACAGACACAGGGGCAGGGGTACCACCAAGACAGGTGATGACGTGTACAGGAACCATGATAAATCAGAAATTAGCCTGAAGGGCCCTCAGCAACTTTCTGAAGCTGGCTGCTACACCTGCCCAGTAAGAGTCCCTCAGACTCTTCCTTCCACGGGGAGGGCCTCCTCTGCTCTCCATTCCTGCCCTCTGTCCACCCCCACCCCCCACCCCCGAATCTATGTGTCTTCTCAGACAGCAAGGGCTCCTCCGTCAGCCTTCGTCAAAAACACTTCAATCTTTCCTTGTAGGCAGCTGAGCAGCCAACGCTAAGGAACCCAATGTGACTGGGAGTAACCCAGGCTGCGTAAGCAGCTGCTTCTCATTGGCTGGGCCTCATGAGGAGATGTGGCAGCAGAGCCCCGCCTCCCATGGACTGCCAGGGAGGCGGGCATGGGGCCCAGCCTCCCTGGCTGGCTTGAGGGGAGCCCAGAGCAGCCTGCCCAGGTAAGGCAGGCTGTACTACTCTGGGCTCTGAAGCTTGGATCAAAGGTTCCACCCTGGGCCTTAGCCAGGAGCTGGCGGATTGGGGTGGGAGGGGTCCTTCGTGGGAAAGGAAGCTGTCGGGGGAGTCAGGAGCCACGGGAAGAGCTTTGAAGGCCGGAGACCAGGTATGGGCGCCCCTGGGGCAGGAAGGCGCCCACTTGAGCCTGGATGGGCTGGAGATGAAAGGGGTATGGCTCCCCCACCCCCTGAAGCAGGATGTCCTGAAGGGAACCAGAGCTCCGGGTTGTCAGCCTGTCCTGTCTGTCCCTCCTGCTGTCTAATCTGATCCGCCCCCTCCACCACCACTCCATCTGGCACTGGCGCCACTGCCTGAGGTTGAGCAGTGTAGGCTTTATACAAAGGGAAAGGTAGCTAGCTCATAAGGTCCGCGGAGCCAGAGGTTATAGGTCTGCTATCCTATTCCTCGTACTACCAGCTGCACCACCACCCTGAAGGAAAAAACTAGCCAAATTATGTATCACTTAATATATGCCAGGGACCGTTCTAAGTACTTTATACATGAAAAAACAAAACACATTTCATCTTCCCTGTGAGACAGGCAATTATTATCCCCATTTTACAGGTGAAGAAACTTGAGGCTCAGCAATGTTAAGTGACTTGCCCAAGGTTGCACAGCTGTAAGTGGTAAAGCTAGGATTCAAACCCAGGCAGGCTGGCTCCAGAGAGCAAGCTTTCAACCACTATGGGAAGTGACTGAATGGGAGAAATTAGAATTCCAGCTTCATGGAGGGGAGTGGGCCTTGGGGACCAATGGGGCCTAGGCTGGGGAAGCTGCCCAGGCTACCACTTTGGCCAACTTGGGAATGAGCTGGGTGGACACCTCAGTGCCAGTGACTGGGGTAGCTGAGGCATCAGCTGGGGTTTTGACATCCTTGGGCTTTTACATCATTCCTTCTCATCAGTCTGCGACAGGCAGATGGATGTAATGGGGTGGGAGGGGGCGGATGTGCCATGTGCTGGAAGCCCCGCCTTCTGCTACCTTGAGGGAGCTTCTTCCACTCACCAGGGCATGAGGCGGCCCAGGCGGGTCCAGGAGGATTTGCTAATGCAGAAGCCCACCAGGGGATCTGTGATAGCATCCCAGGCACGTCCCACAAACAGGATGATGGAGGCAGAGAAAGGGTCCACCTGGAAAGAAGAGGCAAAAGATAGCCGTCTCATCCTTCTACGTAGTGGGGAGAAGCAGGGGCTCCCTCTCCCCTTCAGCCAGGCCCTTGGGTCCCTGTGCTGCTTCCACCCAGGCTTTAAACATCCTCACTTGCCTTGTTAATCACAGCGCAATGCATGCCTCCTCCTCCTCAGCTTTCCCAGATCCGGCCCCTTCTTCCTTCCCTCCCCTGACCTTGAAAACACTCCTGCCAATTAGAATAAATCCAGAATCCCTTCCTTCTTTCCCTTCCTCCCTCCCTCCCTCCCTCCCTCCCTCTCTCTGACAGCCCTGAGCTCTGACCACCTGATATCAGAATTAGCATTAGCTGAATGACAACAGTAGACCTCAGTTTCTCCACCTTTATAATGGGAGTTATGATCTCTGTCTTACAGAGTCAAACTTTATCTTGGATGTGGAAAAAGGAGTCTATAGATGCTTTTAAAAAATGGCCTGTCACTACCCACTCAAGCTAACCCCACCTCCCCAAATATTCTAGGTGCTAGATAGACAGCCTTGTTGGACTTCTCCTTCATCAAGGCCCTGCTATTACTACTGCGTCAGGAAGCTGGGAAGCTGGTGGCCTCCCCGACACCGTACTCCCCGCAGTCTGACCCCCCTCCCCCCAGCTCTGACACTCATTAGCACAGTTCTACACTTTGACTACAGGTTCCTCATCTTTGTACCCCACTCAGGCACCAGCCCATGGCAGTTGCTTGAAAACAAGCTGCTGAATGTTTCTGGGGCTCAGTGTACCCCACTGGTAAATGGATACAACTAAGATGCCCTGCTTGCAAAGTCAGATACTACATAGAAAAGACGGCCAGTAGCTTGAGCCCTGGGAACGATGGTCGCTCAGTCTCCCACTCTCCGATCCAGACAGGGAGAATTCTCAGGATGCCAGGCTGCTGGCCAAGGCTTCTCAAAGCACAGAGGATGCCTGCTTTGCCCTAAGTACCCCTCTTAGTCAAAGGCCTTGTGTACTGGAGGACCCTTCAGCCCAGCACTTGAGGGCCCCTCTGCCCATGGACATGCCCTTCACTCCTTAGGTAATGGTGGGATGTGCCTTATCCCTTGGCCTGGCAACAATCCACCCACCTCCAAGCCAAACCAGCTGACTGTCACCCAGCCAGGGACATGGTATGCCAGTCTCTTCTTAGAACAGGGTCACCAGCGAGGCCTCATTCTCCCTCACACCACTGCCTACCCCTCCAGGCTCTGTCCTCTTGCCAGGCAAGGAGGAGTTGCCTGACCTTGCCAACAAGACTCCCGGAGTGAAGAGACTCCCCTCCTGGATACTTTCCAAAGCCTTGGTATTCCTCTTCCACTGTCACTCTGAGAGGCAGCAAAGTAGGGTATTCACAGATGGTGAAAACTGAGTGAACCTACCCAGTGGGATCCCTAGTCCTTCCCACTTCAGGATGCTGGAGGAGCCCTAGAGCACTCAGTCCACTCACCTGAGCCACATCCAACAGGTAGATCTGCAGGAAGAACCCCAGGGCACAGCCTGTCACCTGGTAGGGGGCCCCCCCAACGGCATAGCAAAGCTTGTTGCAAATGGACAACTGCTGCTGCTTCTTCGGTTCCTTCTGGGAAGAGAAGGAGAGGATGAAAAGAGGCCCAGGTTCCTGGCCTCCATCCTAGGAGGTTCCAGAGGCAGGATCATCCCTACAGCCAGAGCTACCAGAACACTAACTCTGACTTGCCCTGTTCCCACCCAGGAAGATCCCTCTTCTCAGAAGGAAAGAGGAAGGAATTTTCTGTTCTTAGGAACCCTCAGGTACCCTCCTGCTTCCATTTCTAAGAAGCTGTTATTAGCCCACCATCCCTAAAGAACTCCCCACAAGGCCCCAGACATGCTCCTTTCCAGAGGGGAAGCACGCTCCAGCACAGGACCTGTCCCCACTTGGCACCAACTGCCACAACCTGAAAATCCTCTTGCTGCCAAGAGCTGTTTGAGCCCAGCCCGGGCTCCTGCTCTGGCTCAGAGGCCAGGACCCACCTGCCTACTGCGTGAGGGCTCTACAGAGCTGTAGGGACCTGGCCCAGCTGGCTGCCGGCACAGCTGTTCTTCCATCTGTCCCAGAGCGGTCCTGGCCCCTGTACGCAGCCAGAGCTTGAGACAAACCCAGGAGCTGTCCTCCACCCCCACCACTCCCAGTTCCCAGGGGAGCTTGGAGAGAGGAGGAGAGGCCTCCAGGGGCAGGGTTGGGCCGCTCCAGGTGGGGCAGTAGAAAGTCTGGGGTTGCCCAGAGAAAGTAAAGATTACTCATACATAGCAGAAGCATAATTGCTCACCCTGGCTCCTTCCAAGGTTCAAGTTAATAAAATTAAAAGGAAAAGGCGCCACCTTCCAGGCAGACATCTACTGCCTGAGATCCCTCCCTGGGACCGCCTGATTTCTTTCGGTCCAGTGCTAGGGATGGGGCCGATTGTAGAGAGGCGCGGAAAGCACCGAGAGCGCGCATGCACACATACACAAACGCTTTCGGTCTGCGGCTCCTTTAAGAGCGGAGCCTTGTTCTTATGAATGAACTTGAGTGGCCCTCCTCATAGCCGAGTAAAGGGGCGAGAGTAGGCATGTGGGGGTAGGGGGCAGGAAGGGGAACCATGGGGGAGTTTCCCAGCCTTCTAGGGTCTCTCCCGCTCCTAGGGCGGCAAAACTGAGCCGCTCCGCACTGAAGAACCGAAACCGGCTAGGCAGAGCCGGGCACCACGTGGAGCTGCCGGGACAGCCCCTCCGAAGAGATGCGGAGTGGGGGGTGGGAAAAGGGGCGCCGGCGCCTCCAAACCTTCTCCATCACCCTTTGCCCCCAGGGCACCCTCGGACCCTCTCCTGCTCCTGGGTCTGCCTGTCCCCGGCTATCCCAAGCTGTCCCAGGACCAGCCTAACCCCTGATGCCCGCATGTCCCCATCTCAGCCGGCCCGCCACCCCTTGCCCTCAGCCCAGGGTGCCGGGCCCTCACCTTCACCTGGGCCGGACGTTCACCGGCTTGTAGAATACTCGTGGGCAGCAGCCCCGCCGCGGAGCCGCTCTCGGCGCCCTCTCCTTTGGCCATGACCCGTGGGCCAAGCCGCCTGGGACTGGGACGCCGGGATGCTCCCTCTCCTCTCCGGGCCTCCGCTCCCCACTGGCTCCGTCGTAGCTGCCGCCGCCCCAGTGGCGGAGCGCTAAGAAAGCAGACCGGCAGGCTGGGCACACACTCCACTGCACGCCCCCTCTGCGCCTCTTAAAGGTTTGATCCGGCCGTCTCGAATCGGGCCAATCCCTGAGCCCGGCTGCCCTGCCTCTAGCCAATCCACACGCCCGCCAGCCCTCCAGCCTGCCCCACCCGCCTGGCGGCGCTATTCCACTGAGCCACGTTCTCAAAGCCCCGGAACTGGCATCCCGCTGCGCTTTCTCCACGAAATCCCGAGAGAAGGAGGGACACACACTTGACACGCAGGGGAAACTGACGCCCAAGGCTGAAAAGGGACCTGCTCAAGATCCCCCACAGTGAGTTCTCCTTAAGCGAACCTATAACCCATGACCTCTGACCCCCAGGCTTAGAAAGGTGGAGGCTCAGAAGCCCACTAGCCTCCTTTAAAATCTGTAGTAGGGTCTAGTCACCCTCTCCAAACCCGGAGGATGGAGCGCGGGCATTTTATGATGCCCCTTTCTCATCTCCCAAGAGCGACCATTGGTGCCATTGGCATCTTCTGGCCATGGGCCATGAGGGAGAAAGATGAAGCCCCCTAGTCCCCTCCCCTGTCCACAGGGAGCTCACAAGCTGTGGGGAGGAGATGGGCCCACATTCACTTGTACACTATGATAATAACAGCAGCCTTTTATGGAGAGCTTCCTCCATGCTTACCATGATCTCCCTCGACCTTTACAACCCCATATGACTGTGGAACTATTATTCCCATTTTACAGTTGAGGAAAGGGAGACTCAGAGAAGTGAAGCAGCTTTACGTGGCGGAGCCACGCCTGGGCCAGTTTTGTCTAATTACAAAGCCTTCACTCTTAACAGCCCTGCTCTGTCCCGCTCTGCATAAATTAACAGAAGGCTGAATGGGATACATGTGTCACCCAGTAAGAAGCCCTGGGAGGTACAAGGCTATCATGGCACTCTGGGTTGAAATAATCAAAGGTTTGAAAAAGAAAGTGCTGTGTAATCTGGTCCTTGAAAGAAGATGGTAGGACATTAGTTTAGAACAGAGCCCGGGCACAAATGCCAGAAAACAGTCTCTTCTTCTGCCGCTGGGTCTTTTAAGCCAACATCACCCAGTCTTCCCAGACTCTCCAGAGGCCAAGTGGAAGGCAGTTCACTGAGGTTAGTGAAAGGGCTGCTGGAATTTTCAAAGGCCACTCACCCCTGTTTTTGTAGTTGCCCAATCTCAGGCTCCTTTTTTCTTCCTTTAAATCTCTGATTGCAGGAGAACAGATGAAGTTTGGTTGCCCCGGGATGTCGAGCTTCATTGTACGTCTCAGCAAATCCCATCTGCTGGCCACACAGCTCTTGGCCACCACTAAGCAGAAGAAAACCCAAGTGAGGCAGTTCAAAGGGCACGGGCTAGCACCCCTGGCTCCACCATGAGCTGTGTAGCACTCTGGTGTCTCTTCCCCTTCTCAGGGCTTGAGTTGGATAAGGTAGACTCTGTGCTCTCTTCCAGCCCTAAAATCTTCACTCCCATAGAGCTGAATCCCCTTCAAGACTGAGGTACGTGAAGGTAGGAACCACATCTTACTCTCTACCCTATCCCCAGTGCCTAGCTTGGGGCCTGTCTCTTGTTATTAGTTGCTATTGAGTTGATTCTGACTCATGGCGATCCCATGTGCTACAGAGTAGAACTGCTCCATAGGGTTTTCTTGGCTACTATAATCTTTACAGAAGCAGATCACCAGGCTTTTTCTTTCTCAGTACCTCTGGGTGGGTTTGAACCTTCAACCTTTAAAAACCCATTGCCATCGAGTTGATTCTGACTCATAGCGACTGTATTGGACAGAGTAGAACTGCCCTCATATGGTTTCCAAGGAGTGGCTGGTGGATTCAAACTGCCAAGCTTTTTGGTTAGCAGCCTGAGCTCTGTCTTAGTCACCTAGTGCTACTCTAACAGGAATACCACAAGTAGATGGTTTTAACAAAGAGAAGTTTATTTCCTCACAGTAAAGTAGGCTAAAAGTCCAAATTCAGGGCATCAGCTCCAGGGGAAGGCTTTTTCTCTCTCTCGGCCTTCTCATCAATGTTTCCCCGGACTAGGAGCTTCTCTGTGCAGGGACCCTGGTCCAAAGGACGTGCTCTGCTCCCAGCACTGCTTTCTTGCTGGTATGAGGTTCCCCACTCTCTGCGTGCTTCCCTTTCATCTCTTGAGAGATAAAAGGTGGTGCAGGCCACACCCCAGGGAAACTCCCTTTACATTGGATCAGGGATGTGACCTGGGTAAGGGTAGTGTTACAGTCCCACCCTAATCCTCTTTAATGTAAAATTACAATCACAAAATAGAGGACAACCACACAACACTGGGAATCATGGCCTAGCCAAATTGATACACACATTTTTGGGGGGACACAATTCAATCCGTGAGAAGCTCTTAAACTGCTGTGCCACCAGGGCTCCTTACAGAAGCAGATCACCAGGCCTTTTCTTTCTCTGTACTGCCGTGTGGATTTGAGCCTCCAACCTGCCCATATTGCTGGGTGGGTTTGAGCCTCCAGCTCACCCAGAGCTTAATAAATATGTGTTCAATGAATGGGTGTTCAGTCTTCCTCCGGCACAAGGACAGGAGGGGCCTATTTGGAAAAGCCTCAGGCTCCTCCGTTTACTAGCTGTGTGATTGATCCTGGGTAACTCAATTGACCTCCCTGTGTGTAAAATGGGGATATTAATAGTACCTACCTGATAGGGTTGTTTTGGGGATGAAATGAGAAAATGCACAGGAAGTGCTTAACTCAAGTGCCTGGCAGCTGAGGCTGGGCTGATCCCCCTTCTGGCCTAATTCCAGTCTGTCAGTGTAGCAACGCAAGATTCCAGATATGGCCTGACCAACCCAGCACAATGGGCCTATTATTTCCCCCAGTCTGGACACAACACATTGTTAATGCAGCCTAAGACTGCTGGGCTTCGGAGCCTTCTCTCCCATGATTAGTTCCCATCAGGTTGTGGTCAACTAAATCATTCAGCTCCTTTTCACTGGCAGTGGGGTCAAGTCAGGTCTCCCCCCATCCTCTGCTTTGTGCAGTGTCTTGAAGGAGGACAATGTCATCTTGCTTATTCCAGCCTGTTGAGATAGTTTTGAATACTGGTTCTGTTGGCCACTGTTTCCACTCACTCTCGAATTTTAGATTGAGCCTGCCCTTGCGGCTTCAACGCCACCATCCATGTTGTTGATCAGGAAGTTGTTGTGTGTCAATTCTGACCCATAGCAACCCTACAGGACAGGGTAAAACTACCCCATAGGGTTTCTTAGGCTGAAATCTTCACAGGAGCAGATTTCTAGGTCTTTCGTCCCACGGAGCCACTGGTGGGTTCGAACCACTGACTTTTCGGTTAGCAGCCTAGCTCTTAACCACTGCCACTGGTGGGTTCAAACCACTGACCTTTTGGTTAGCAGCCAAACTCTTAACCGCTGCGCCATCAGGGCTTCTGATCAGGATAGAGCCCCATAACATCACTCAAGCTATTCATTTGCCATTGACTGACTCGGCACTGCTAATGCAATAGCTCCCAGTTATTGAGCACCAACTGTATGCTGAGCAGGCACTATGTTAAATGCTTTGTGTATTCCATCTCATTTACTACTCACAACACCACTGCGGGGGGGGGTGGTTAGTTTTTATTACTTCCATTTTATAGATGATGAACCTGAGGCTAAGAGAGGGGAAGCAGGGACCACATTTTCTAAACCCAGAGGCAGGACCCTTATTCTGACAATGAGCTTTTTTGCAGACTTACTGCTCAGAGACATCTTCCAGGTACCTACAGTCCTGACTACAAGTCTTCACGGGCCCACTCCTACCCCACGCCAAGGGACCTGGAGCCCAAGATGCTTTGCTGAGGCTCCAGTCCATGGCGGGCACCGGACAACCTCACCAGCTCTGTTAGCCTCGGGAGACTGGAGCAGAGACCTGGGCCCATTCTTTGTAGCAACATTTTTTCTACCTAGGATAGCAGTGAGGGCAAAGCCTGAGGGACAGGCAGACAGCTACCCTCTCTGTGGCAGTATCACTGTCCTGGCCATCTGTGACCCTTTTTAGTTCTAGCCCAGCCTCAGAGCCTAAGACAAATGAACTCAAGAGGTTCTATCAGAGCTCCCTGCCTCCCTTTGCCCTCACAGAACAACAAGCCCAGCCTGGTGGGCTTTCTCATGTGCCCCAGCATACTCCCCTGAGAGCCACTGAGGAGGCCACGAGGTCCCCTGAGCTTCCTGGGAGGCAGAGCAGGGAGTTAAGTGCAAAGATTCCAGAGATAGGTTACCTGGCTTCATAGCCCAGTTCTACCATTACAGTTTACTCTGGGCAAATTACTGAATTTCTCTGAGCTTGTTTCCTCACCTGTCAAACGTGGATAATAATTGTACCTATCTCATAGGGTTGGAACCCTGGTGGTACAGTGGTTAAGAGCTCAGGCTGCTAACCAAAAGGTCGGAGTTCGAATCCACCAGCCGCTCCTCGGAAACCCTGTGGGGAAGTTCTACTCTGTCCTATATGGTCACGATGAGTCGGAATCAACTGGACGGCAACGGGTTTGGTTTTTTTTTTTTTTGGTTCATAGGGTTAACGTGAGGATTAAATGAAGTGCTTAGAACAGTGCCTGGCATACAGTAAGTAATCAAAAAGGTTTACTATTATTGACATTAGTGCCCTGGGCAAAACCTCACCAAATAAGGCCACTAAGTCAAAGGGGAGAAAACTTGTGATAAATGGCCGGGGACTAGATTAAAGTCTAGTGACTCCAGGTAATGTGTCCAGTGCAGTGAGATATGGCCAGGGCAGTTTTTACCTGGTGGTGGTATTGGGGTGTTATTGTTAGGGTATTGTTGCTCACTGACGGTGTTGTCAGATGCTAGTGTTGCCAGGTGTTGTAGCTTGTGGTATGTTATCCAATGGTAAGATCTCCTCAGTGCCCTAGCTGGCAGACCCACCACCCTAACTTCTGGAGAAAGGAGCCTAGCCCATGCCTTTAAACTTGCTTGGCTCAACAGCCACTAGCAA